TCCGAGGCTCATTTGCCCTGAATGTCAACAAGCCCCCTACTGTTGATGAATCCTGCATTACCCGTAATGAGGAATATACCATAATTCCCATACCTTAGGTTCCTTAAGGTAATGCAGGATTTATATCATCAACCGTTGTACCCGCTCGGAGGCCCCATGATAGCCCACAAGGGCCTCAAGCTGTCTGAGGAGAGCCGGTGTCATTCGGTTCAGGGCCCCTCGAAAACCCTGATCTCGAGCGGCTTGGGATGGAGCGGTTGAGCTGTTGAGAAAAGGGTTGAGGATTGCAAAATCCGACCATGGGGGTCTTAATAATCAGTAATTAGAATAGGGTTTTGGCGCCCATGATACTATAGTAAAAACAAGGCACCCACAAAATAGTATAGGTAAATATCTAGGCCCCTTTATTAAGCCCGCATCGAGGTTTTCGGGACCCTGAATAAAGGACTTAGCCAGTCAAGACGACTTCGGCTAATGCAAGGACGCTGGCTGCGGTGCAGATGAGTCTGGGATCCCACCCTGACTAGGATTTAGGGTTTAGGGCTTAACACCGAATAACTTCCTTTCTTTAAGGACTTGATCATCAATTCATTGTAAGGAACCTAAAAGGTAGGTTAGTCAAGGTTCAGGAAGGGCTTCGTCCAATTTCTCAGACTTCTATCTCATGCTGTTGGGGTGCCTTCAATTGGGTGTCGCTGCGGCGCAGCCACGTTTTTCAGGAAGTCTATGGTAAAGTGGATATAGACGTTTAGGGTCCAGGCTTTGCATTTTGGTCTTACCTTTTCTAAACCTCTAAAGCCCAGCCTTAACCCTAAACCCGTAAGCCCTCACCCCCAAACCCTATAAAGTTATAAAGCAGACACTATAATTCCTAAACCACTAAACCCCTAAACCCCTCACCCCAAACCCTAAACCCTAAACTTTAAACCATAAAGCCCTAAAATCCCTAAACCCCTCACCCCAAACCCTATCCCTAAACCCCTAAACCCCTCACCCCAAACCCTAAACCCTAAACTTTAAACCCCTAAACCCCTAAAATCCCTAAACCCCTCACCCCAAGCCCTAAACCCCTAAACCCCTCACCCCAAACCCTAAAGCAGACACTGCGAGACGAGGAGAAGGCCCCCAAGTAGAGGCCGTGAGTCGGTCGCATCTCCCCAGCTTCCGACGCGCGGCTTCCTTTTAGGGGTTCCCTCAAGGGTTCCCTTGAGGTTCCTATGAGGGTTCCTTTTAGGGGTTCCTTTAAGGGTTCCATTAAGGTTCCTAGAAGGGTTCCTTTAAGGGTGTCGAAAGTTTGATAAAAGAGAACAACGTGGCGTACAAGTCTTGCTGGAGGCTGGGCCTTTTGTTGGTTTATGGTTTTAGGGCTTCGGCGCTCTAGGCTTTTCGCGTCGAGGGTTTTGCAGTTTGGCGCTTGAGGGGTTTGGGATTAGGGTTTCCGGCTCTTTTAAAGATCTTATAATACTGTATCGGGTAGATCTTCAGGGCTCTAGAGTTTTTGGGGCTTCAGGGCCTTGGGGATTGAACCTCCAAAGCTATCCCCGCAGAAGCTGCAACACAGCGTCCTAAAGCCGCATGCTTCGGACCGAGAGACATCGCGAGATCAGGTGAAAACGGTCCTGCGGGCGAAGCGGGGTAATTAAAATACCTGCTTGAGGGATCATCGGATGTAGCCGCTTGGGGCGTCTACCCAGGGGCCCCAAAGTAGTTCCTTTTTGGACGTGTCCTCCTTTTTTGGTTAGGGACTCTAAAATACTACCCAAAAAGGAACTACTTTGGGGTCCCTGGGTAGAGCTTTCCGTAGAACCCACATACTAAGTTGCCACGGGCACTACTGCACTGGAAGGCATTGTAAGTATTGTGACGTAATGTACTCGTAATGCCAGGAGCGCCGTGCCATGCAATTCATGCAATATACTGTAATACGTGTACCTGCGCTGCAATGTAATGCAATGCACTGTAGTGCATCATGATGCAGAATGTTGAAATGGACTGGATTGGAATTGAAAGAAATCTGAAATGCCATGCGATGTATTGCAATTTAATGTAGTCTTGCAACAAGCTGTAATGCAGTGCAACGCAACATAACATGTGTTCTGTTTGTGTTAATTAAGTTATGCCGTGCAGCTCCTGTTTGAGCCATGTAGTCTAGGTTCGACCATTGGCGACACGCTCCTCTGCTTCGGTGCTCCGAAGCCTTCTTGTGCTCCCCATATTGTGGATAAGCCCCGCCAAGAACTGGCTGTGGTGGCTCACACGGCTGACAAATCAGTCCAAACCGAGTTCCAACGGGTTTATGAGCCACTTTGGAGCCTCCTTGCCTTGGACCCGCCCATTCCTCGGGCGGACTATGAGGATGCCCATGACCATGAACTGGGTCGTCGTGACTCCAGCTCTGATTCATCGAATATCATGGATCGATTCTCAAGAAGACGGGCAATTGCGAGCAGCATTCTGGCTACAGATCGCCAGCGTTGGCCATTCTGGCTTCCGACACGTTCAAGAGAACTCTCTGGTTCCAGGGTGTAGCGTTAATTTAGCCCGAAACACTTTAATTGAATCCCTCAACCCGTCCAGGACAACAAGCAAATCAGGGAATCTTGAACCCTTTAAATGCGCTTTATTCTTTGGGAGTTGGTGTCTGCAAACGAGGCAGCACAGCCACATGATGCAGCCGTGGATCTCGAGAAAAGATGTAGGTGGGTCACGTTTAACCCCAAGCCCCAAACATCCAGGACCTTGAACCGTAAAGTATCGCGGTTTCGCACAGATCTCATCTTCGCACATAGAATGTGCTCTTGAACCAAGTCAGAGTTTGTATAGGGTTTAAGCAGAACCCCGAATGCCCTGAAAGCTTCAAACGTTGGAGCCCGGCACCCACAACCCTACTCTGGCCATTGAAGCCCCTGGCTCAAGCCCGACACAATCCTGTCCGGTAGATCAGCCCCTAATTCTGGGAAAAAGCAGCGGGAGATCGATGAAAGAAGAGGCAAGGCTGTTTCCGGTAAGACTCCGCGGAGAGCAGCTCCTCCACACACCCCTAAACGCGGTGGCTGTACCCTAACCTGCACCCCGAAACTCCTCAGCCCTACAGCCACGATTCAAGAGAAGCCCTACCCTGCTACCCTACCCTCCCCAACTCCCCTACTAGCCTTTACTACCCCTAAACCCTAAACCCTAAACCCTATGTAATTAAGACGGCTTTCTGCGCTGGGCCCTTGCCTCAGTGATGGTGGCCGGAGAGGCAGGTCGGAAGTCTGCTTTGCTCGTAGAGTTTGTTTAAGGGTTTAGGGTTTAGGGTTTAGGGTTTAGGGGTTTAGGGTTTAGGGTTATATGGGCGTGCAGCGGTTTTAGACAAAAGCTTTGGATGTCTTCTGGACAGGGTTCTACCATGGTTTGTAAGGATTGTACAGGGGCTCCTGGATTTGAGGGTGTAGGTGTCATGGCCAAGAGTGTGGAGGTGGATTTGCAGAGCGGTTTGCAGTTATAGGTCTTTAGGCGGCAAAAACTTGTCATATGGGAGTTTCCGAAGATAGGGGTCCCTAATATAGTACCCTAAATAGTAGGATCCTTATTGCAAGGAACCCAAAACAAGGTACCCCTACTTTTCGGAAACTCCCCCATAGCGGTCTGCACGGAGACATGAACGATTTTTATTTTGTAGTCCTAGGTTCCCTATAAAGTTACCCAATACCAACAAGGGAGCCCTTGTTATTCCTAGGTTACCGGGCATCCTAGATAAAGGTTTGTTATTTACCCAGGGGCTCCACATATACTAAGGTTCCTAAAACCATAATAAGGATGGTCTTTTGAAAACGTGACTCCATATTCGTAGTATATGTGGAGCCTCTGGGTTAGGACTTACCACTATAGGATCCTTAAGGGAGGGTGGTTCAAGGGGGGAGGGTGTAAGGAATCCTTAGGGGACTGTAAGGGAACCTTAGGGAGTACTAGGGAGACTTAGGGATCACTAGGCTATATACCCCCCCTTGGACCCCCCTCCCTTAAGGATACTACAATACCAGTTGGCTGTCCAGCCCTCATCAAGAGACTCCAGGATTCCTTAATTAAGGACTATTCCTTGAACTAGGACCCAGAGTAGGCCCTTATTCCCTTTTTAAGGGTTTAGGTTCCCTTATAACCCCCTTTAAACCAAAAAGGGCACCCTTTTTCTTCCTAGGTTACTCTTGGGTCTAGTGAATCATATCAGGGATCCTACTATAATTCAAGGTATATATTCCTTATAATTAAGGGATATTGGAATCTCTGGGCATGCTCATGAAATTCCAGATGCCCTGGCAAACGCCAAGCCTCAAACCAGTTGAAGTCTGAAATCTAATCGCTTTCTGCAGCAGCCCTATTATAGTCTATAGTATTAGTATCTGGGTTGTCCTTTGGGATCTTTTATAATTTCCCCTACTAGTTTGTAGAGAACCATAATAGTAAATAATTTTCAAGGGGCTTAAAGGACAACTCAGGTATCATGGCTCTTGCGGCACCTTTGATCCCACGCGGTGGTTGTGGTTGCGTCGTCACTACTCAGCAGAGGAAGAGCTCCCCAGCACTTCTTTTGCTGAAGCCCTATCAACCGGGATAACATATTTAGCCACGAGCCCAGTCCCCCGCCATACCGCAGTGGCTGCTATTCCTGAAGCTTGCCCATATTCGCAACCCCGGAACAGAAAAACCTAGCAAGCGGGGTGGGGAGTTTAGGAGTTAAAGTTGTTGGCTTCGGAGCGATGTAGGGTCGACAACGTTTCCGCATCAGGACACAGCAAGTAGGATTTAGCCCACTGCCTTAAGAACCCTAAACCCAGCATACCTTCCCACCTCACATAGCGGGTCTTAAGATGTAAAGTGGCATACTCGAGATGCAAAGCTTGTGCCCTAATGCAGGGAGCGGAATGATGGGTAATAGCACCCCTTCATGGTTCGAACTTTACACCCGAAAGCCCTGGCCCAATGATAGACACGAGATAAACTCGGCAAGACACGTCAGGATGGCTCCTTTCGACAGTCGGCTGATCCGAACCCCAGCCGGTTAGTTGCTTTTGTTGGGCCTAGAGTTCTAAAGGGTTCCTAAAAATTCAAGCTTCTGCAGGATATTGGAGTTTCGGGTTTTGTGGTTTTGGGGTGGAGGGTTCGGGGTTGTTTCGTGCAGGGGGATTGTGGACTTGGCACATTGAGGTTTGCGTTCCGATGGGGTTCCCTTTGCAGGGGCTCTCGAGATTACGGGAACGCGAAACGTGGATTGTCGGCTTAGGGTTTAGTAAGGGTTTAGGGTTTGGGGTTTGGGGTCGGGATATGTTTTACGAAGCCTTGTCTTTAGTGCTTCCAGCGCAGCTTTATTCCTAGTTGTCCAGGCTTCTGCAATTTCTGCGTTCAGGCTGGCTTGAGTTGATCGACCCGAAATCCTGAGTTCTAAGCCCTAAAACCCTGCACCTTCAACGCTAAATCCTAAACATTAGAAGGGGCCCCCACCCTGTAATAGTGGTATAATAGGAATATACTACTGCCCTAATATCATCCTTATAGTCACTATTACAGGGTGGGGCCCCTTCTAACCTAAACACTTTAATTCCGAACTGTACAATCACAAGCCCTAAACCTGATCCCTGAACCTCAGTCGAGGATACTTGGCGGTACTCGGGCCGGAGGCGGCATCTCTAGAGGACATGGATAAGCAGTGGGGAACAACTATATGTACATATATATATATATATATATATATATATATATATTTATGTGTGCGATAGATACATAGATCGTCGCCCCAATAATTAGGACAGGTCTTGGGGTATACTACACTTTCATGATCGCGGGGCATCCAGCCCAACAATAAACCACTGCTAGTAATTATCTCAAAACCAGAAACCCTAAACCCTAAACCCCAAACCCTAAACCCTAAACCCTAAATCCCAAACCCTAAACCCTAAACCCCAAACCCTAAACCCTAGATAAGTGATTAGGGTATGAGTTTCAGGCTTTTCTGGTTAAGGTGGTTGCTGGGGGGCTCCTGGAGCTTATGCCGGGCACTTATTATAGGGGCCTTGATAATTAAAATAGGGGTTCCCTTTAAGGGGCCTTTAAAGGGGTCTATATAAGGGATCCATAATAGGGTTCTATATTATAGGGGCCTTGATAATTAGAAGAGGGTTTGGGGGTGTGTGTATATACTGCAGTTCTAGCAAGGAGCCGCCAAAACCCTATTCTAATTATTAAGGCGCTACATCATCTCATCCGCGATCTGAGGATTCTTGTTGTTAAAGAGAAACAGATGTTGTACGATTCTACGGTACAGCAGTAGCTCAAGCTCCTGCTTATGGTGGTTATACGATATATTTTGAGTCCGACAAGTGCTTAGGGGAACACAGAAAGGAGTTCTGATTTACAGAAGAACCCTCCCAGGAGCCACGTTCACAGCCGTTTGGTTTAGGGTTTCAGGGATGAGGACGATCATGATCATTAAAGCATTGAAGTAAGGCCTTGTGAACAAAGGAGCGCGGCGAAGAGTAACAGTAGAATGAGGCCATTGGGCGCCAGAGCCAGACATGTAGCGATTTAGGGTTTAGGGTTTTAGATTTTAGGGTTTTAGGTTTTAGGGTTTAGGGTTTTAGGGTTTAGGGTTTTAGGGTTTAGGGTTTAGGGTTTAGGGCGATCAAGATCAACGTTGTGAATGTTGACTACCCGGAAGTATCCCTGAACCCGAAAGGCCCAAGCCAAAGGCTACACGCCGTAGCCTAAACCCGAAAGCCCTAAACCCTAAAACCTCCAAACCCTAAAACCCTAAACCGCAAAACCCCCAAGCCCCTGAACCTCTAAACCTCAAAACCCTAAAACTCTAAACCCTAAAACCCTAAACCCTAAAACCTCAAAACCCTAATCCCAAAGCTTCTAAGCAGGAGGAGTTGGAAAGACTCGAGTCCTCAGACGACCTCCCGGACCAAGGAGGTCGGAGATTGGAGGTTTAGGGCTTCACGGTTTTAAAGAATCAAAGGGGCAAAGGAGGGACCCGGACCCCTAGGTTTTTACCCTTAATATAGCTATTATATACCCATTATATAGCCCATTATAGGGTAGGGGTCCCCATTAAGGGTCCCTCCTTTTCCCTTTGAAAGAAAGGGGTATAGCTTTAGGCTTTTGGACAAAGGGCTAGGAGTTTGGAGGTTTAGGGCTTTAGAGCAAGTTTTACGGGTGTATGATGTGAAAGGTTTAGCGGTAGGACTGATGACGGGATACGTTCTTCTTCGCGGACCATATGGTCCAAATGTAGCAAACATAAAAAGTACAGTCGCTGTTAGTAGAATACTACAACCCCCAAAAGTATGTAGAATTATGGCCCTTTATAGGTTTCGGGCCATTATTCTGCCTATATACTTTTGGGGAGTTTAAAGGTCCCCGAGATCCCTTCAAAACTGCAGAAGGCGGTCCTGCCGCTCCAGTGCTGCGGCCGATCACCCTCGAACGCTTCCCAGAAGAGGTCAGGGCACCAATGAAGTCTGGGAATCTACTATACACGCTTTGACACTTACCCTAATTAAGGAATATACCTTACTTAAATCATAATATTAAGGCCTCTATAATTTAAGGCATATTCCTTGATTAAGGGGTATTGGGGTCTCTGGGTCTATAGGGGGCTGAACTATTGGTAGTCGAGTTCTCCAGGGTTCCCGAGTATCAATTATGGCCGAGCGCCACCCCCAAATTTAGTTGCCAGACATTCATTTGGCGGCTAGGGGCTATAGGGCCAGGGCTCAGGGTATGGGGTTTTGGAATACGGCTTTAGGGTTATTCCTTCGGGTTTGGGGTGCTCAAGCCAGGATTTGGGGTTTGGGGCCCCTTGTCTCAGGTTGAGGTTTAGGATTTGCGGGTTCTTAAGGGCCGTAGCAATCGGATCCCGGATTGCAGCTGTAACTGCAACGACGGTAGTCATGTAGCAGTATATAGCAGTAGCGGTAGCGGTAGCAGTAGCAGAAGCAGTAGTAGAAGTAATTAGTAGCAGCAGTAGTATCAGTAGCAGTAGTAGTGGTTGTAGTAGTAGGAGTAGAAGTAGCAGGAGTAGTAGGAGTAGTATGTAGAAGTAGCAGGGGTAGTAGGAGAAGTATATAGGAGTAGTAGGCGTAGTAGAAGTAGAAGTAGAAGTAGGAGGAGTAGCAGCAGTAGGAGTAGGGGAAAAGTAGTAGTGGTAGTAGTAGTAGTAGTCGTCGTCGTCGTCGTAGTCGTCGTAGTAGTAGTAGTAGTAGCAGCAGCAGTAGTAGTAGTAGTAGCAGTAGTAGTGGCACCCCCTCTACCAGCTACACTCGCCCCATCTCAAGGGCACATCCAATTTCGTCGGTATTTCTTGTTGCCTCGAAATCCACTTGTCGACTTTGCAAACTCGAGCTTCGGATTTCGGCAGGGTTCGAGGTTTAGGGATACCCAGATTCTTTTCTTCAGGGTTTCATTTTCTGGCTCCGTCGAACACTAGGTGCTGACTCCAGCTAATTCGTTCCAAAAACCTTCTAATATCATAAGAAAAAGTTCTTTCAACTCACACAGAAACCCGCAGCCGAGAAGCCAGGACGATAGCGAAGTGCCACTGAGCCCACTGCTCGCCACACTTCCAGACTTCTGTTTCAAGGCGCTTTTTGTTTTGGATTCACGCGGGTGTTTCGGGTTTAGGGCACTAGGGTTTTGGTTCTTCTGGTCAGGGGAGGCTGTCAGGGCCGCGGGCCAGGGGTTCGGGGTTGATGGCTTTAGTACTGAGCTGCTGAGTTAGGGTTGAGGGTCTCGGGTTTAGGGCTTGATCTGGGTGGCTAGGGTTTGGGCGACACTCGTGTAGCGGCCGCGGTTATTGTAACTCGGTGTTCTTGTTGTGGTGGTGCTGTTGCTGACGCCGGTGCCGATGCGGATGCCGGTACCGGAGCTGGTGCTTGTGGTCCTGGTGGTTGTGGTTGGTGTTCTTCCTGCTGTCGTTGCTGTTCTTGTTGTGGCACTGTGAGGGTGGTACTGGTAGTGGTGGTTGTTGCTGCGGAGGCAAATGCGCACGATAATCGACACATGTTACTTGAGGGTGACTTCCCTCAAGTCCTTAGGCAGCAGGAATTTGAAGACGGACCAACAGGAACATGGAATTGGAAATTTCATTTTCTTAGTAGTAGTAGTAGTAGTAGTAGTAGTAGTAGTAGTAGTAGTAGTAGTAGTAGTAATAGTAGCAGCAGCAGTAGCAGTAGCAGTAGCAGTAGCAGTAGCAGTAGCAGTAGCAGTAGCAGTAGCAGTAGCAGTAGCAGAGTCAGTGTAGCAGCAGTAGCAGTAGCAGTAGCAGTAGCAGTAGCAGTAGCAGTAGCAGTAGGAGCAGGAGCAGGAGCAGGAGCAGGAGCGGGAGCAGGAGCAGGAGCGGTAGCAGGAGCGGTAGCGGTAGCGGTAGCGGTAGCGGTAGCGGTAGCGGTAGCGGTAGCAGCAGTAGCAGTAGCAATAATGCCATCAATATAAAAGCTCTCCTTGACATTCATCTTAAACGTCTTCCATCGGAGCGGTATTGTGCAATATATCGGATCATCGAAAACCGGGTTTTTAATCGTTTAATCAGGAAGGCTCACACACTCCAGCACATATAACCCCTCATAGAAACCTTATGTAACCCCAGGCCCTAGCCTAAGTATCCAGGACCATAATAAAGTAAGACCCATAGAGTATGCCCCTAGAAAACCGTCTAAGCATCCTGTACAACCTACGTAAATAGAAGCATTATTCCCGTTCCTCAACCCCCAAAATTTCCCTAAACCCAAGCCCCAAGCCATAAACGCTGGAACCCTAAATAAACCCTCCCTGCGCCCAGAAACTCCAGTATCCCTTAATCAAGGAATGTACTTTAAACTATAGCAGGACCCCTATCATGATTTAAGGTATATTCCTTACTTAAGGGATATTGGAGTGTTTGGGCCTGGACTTGTGGCGAGGAGGGCTTACGCTTGGAGACCGCCAAGCCCAGGGGGTGGAGTCCGCCGGGCCCTCGGTTGGAAATCCTTTACAGGCCTCCTTTCATAGGAGGCCAAAAGGGGTTTTAGCCTATGGGGGTTTAGCAGGTATTAGGGTTCCCATAATAGGGTTCCTCTTAAGGAATCCCTACCCCAAGCCTATGGGAGTTTAGTAGGTATTAGGGTTCCCATAGTAGGGCTCCTTTTAAGGAATCCCTACCCCAAGAATCTTAAACCCCCCCCCCCTTTTTGGCCTCCCATCATCCTTCAGGGGTTCCTTGAATGGTCAACCTTTGAGGGTTGTTCAGGTTTCTTTCAGGCATCAATGATGGATCTCAGATGTTTGGGGTTCAGGGGTTTAGAGTTTGCGGTTTAGGGTTCGTGTCTAGGCTTTCAGGGAGGCGATAAGATGAATGATCTTTCGGAGATCGCACCTCCAAGTTGAACCAGGAGCTTGAGGGTTGTAGTTCTCTTTCTCTTTTACACTTTGAGGTTGAACCGAAAACATAACTAGGCTCTGCGGACGACGAGGCTATAAGCCCTCAGACGACCAGCCCGAGAGCAGACACAGTGCCTGCACTCTACTTAAGCATAATTAATCCTCGGTGGGTTGTCAGAAAGGAGAAGCTTCGAACGATGCGAGCATATGCGTCATGAAAAGAGTCGGTTATATCTGGTTATACCGTGTCATGCTTCGCTGTACCGCGTGTTTTCCTCATTCTGACTGCAAGCATAGCCTACAGTGTCGACGTGTGAACCCAGGATGCCTTAATCAGAATCGAATTTGCTGAATCGCTGGAATGAGGGTGCCATCATCACCGTAATTGTCCTCCGAATCGCCATCGGCCATCATCCTCTGCCTGATCCGTGCGTGCCATTTTTGTAAGCGCATCGTCATCGCATCGGCACGATCATGGTCGCGGTTATGACTTTGTCGCAGCATATTTATTGGTTGGCACTCATCTCGCTTGTCGCGATCATGGCGCCGTTTTCGTAACATCATTACGACCGGCAGTAGGTACCATGATACAACCGCAATTTCGGGCCTTTCTGTTCTTGGGTGCATTCGTGTCGCACAAGCTGAACGCTAGGTAGCCGGTAGATTCGTTTTTGACATTTCTTCAAGAATTCTAATTAACAGTAATAACAAAAGCAAAAAATTAAGAATAATGAACCATTAAATCCTGAACCGCTGAATTGCACCCCTCCCGCCCCTCAATCCGTAGATTGCTTCCAATCTCTCAACCCTCAGCCTAGCCTGGACCTTCTGTACCCCTAAATGAGAGTTTCCGAAAATCAGGGGTACATTGTTTGGAGGTCCTTATAATACGGATCCTACTATTTGGGGTACTATAGTAGGGTCCCCTATTTTCGGAAACTCCCAAATGCCACGCCACTACATAAACAAAGGAGAGTTCAAACCTGGGACTCTAGCCATCCGACTTTCAGAGAACCCCAGAGCAGGCTTCAGTGCAAGTCCGGACCCTCTGAAACCATATGGGTGGTTGTCAAAATTAGGGTCCCTTTTTGGGTCCCTATTATAATACGGCACCTAATAGGGCCTTAATTTTGACAACCACCCATATTATCGGGGCCTTAATACCTGTTTTGGGGCCTATGATGCTATAATCATAATACGGAACCCCCCCGAATAGTATTGGTAACTATTTAGGCCCCTATATAAAGGCTCCAAAACCCCGAACCCCAAACCCCTGAGACTGAAACTACATCTCCGCAGCCCCCAAGCCTCAGTCCACCCCGAAACAGAAAATCCTTAACCCTAAGCCCCTAAACCCTTATATCCTAAACCCCTAAACCTTAAACCCTAGACCCATAAAGCTCCGAAACAGAAGCTTTGTAACTCTAAACCCTGAACCCCTAAACCGACCAAACTCCAACAGCATCGAAGGGCATTTGCATCCTTCGCCTTCACCACCGGCAAGGGCGGCCCGGGCGCCCAGCTGTTGACTGCAGCACGTTGGAGTTCGGGTCTAAAGGGGTCTATCTGGTTTCATGAGGGTTTACAGTAGGGTTTAGGAAAATCGCCTTGAAGGAACTTTCGATTCGTTCAGTGTTTCAGGTTTCGCGAGGTAGTGCGAAGATTTTTTGTGTTCCAGCATGTTATCTGCAGTAACTGCTGGGGTCATCATGGTTGCTTCTGTCTTCATCACGATCATAACCACCATCATCGCCATCAACACTACCAGGCACTACCACCACCATGATCATCATCATAATCATCCTCAGCATCATTCTCATCATCATCATCATCATCATCATCATCACCATCACCATCATCGTCGCCACCACCGCCATCATCTTCATCATCATCATCGTCAGCCGGTGCTTGCCTTGTCCATAAGTCGCATTGTAGCTGCACACGAGCCTTTAAGTAGGGTTGTGGCAGACGGCTTCGGCACTCCAAACAGCAAGAAACGTCGGAGACATGATCCAGTTCCGTAATGAAGGGCCTTAGCAATTACCAATACTATTTTTGGGTGGGTTCCTTATTAATTATAACTATAGTATAATGGGCCCCAAAACCCTATTTTAATTGTTAATTAAGGCCTTTACATTATTATGCCCGCCGAGGATCTCGAAAGTTGAAGCTGACGCCTTAACCCTGAGCCCCCCTGTGCCTGCAGAGCCCCGTCACCAATGATTGGGAACCAGAAGCTTTAAGCGAAATGGCGGCCGTCTGGCGCAGAATAACTATACAGATAGTCATAAACAAGTGGCAAGGACGTCTCTTTGTCGCCTGCCTGATCGTGCATGAGCGGGTCCAGTCCAAATCGTGCGGCTTGGCGGAACATGAAGGTCTGTTGGTCTTATCTAGCGGGTTTAGGGTTTAGGGTTTAGGGAGTGTTTCTGCAAGGGCTCAGGCGTGAATTGGAACCCGACTTAAGGAGCTTCAGTTCAGGGTTGATGCGGCACAGCAAGTGAACCCTAAGCCCCTAAACCCTAAGCCCCTAAACCCTAAGCCCCTAAACCCGAAGCCCCTAAACCCTAAACGCATCATCAAAGGTTCGACTGAACAGGGTCTGCGGATTTGTAAGCTCGTGAGAGCTACGTACATCAATGTGCCAGGCCTCAGCCGCTGATCCCCGCCCTCCAGCTTTCAGAGTAGAGCAAAGTACGGGTTGAGTGAAGTTTTGGTTTTGGGTAATAAGATTTAGGCATTTTCGGACACAGCTAGGCACAGGATTTAGGCTGCAAAGATTTTTAGTAAGTGATGCAGGATATGTCACCGAACCCTAAAACTAGGGTACTAAGTTCCCCTCCTTCGTATCTTCTGCGTGCGGCACGGCCACTGCTCATCGATTTGCTCCAAAACTATACCCGAAGCCTCAAATCCTTTAGCTAAACCCACACCCTGAACCAAGCCCCTAACCCTTAAGCTTAGCTCGTAACTAAAAAATTTCCCAACTTTGAGGTTCAACCCACAGCACGGGTTCTAAATCAGATGCATTAAAAACCTCCGCAAAGCAAACATCCATTTGAACCTTGCATAGACCTCGTAAGCACCGTTTGAGACATCAATTGGAACCATCGAAGCCGTATGGAAACCCGTTAATCAATGGCCTCAACCACAGTTGTCGCTCCAGGCCTGTGCTACACGCCCAAGGCCCGGCAGTTCCATCACCAGGGGTGTGTGCCAGGGGGTGGGGCCTTATGATCTGGTTCAGGTATCCCTGAAGGTTCCTGATTATCGGTATAACATGGGGGCCTGGATAATTACAATAGGGTCTGGGGGTATACTATACTATAATTATAGTAAGGAACCCCTGATTTATTACGGTCCCTACAGTAGTATGATATACGAACATACGCCCCAAGATCAGCTTTGGTAGGGCATTCTTAGGCTTCTGGAAGGGGTTCAGAGTTTAGGGTTCCATTGTTTTGGCCTTAGGGACACTTCAGGGGGCTTTTAGAGTTTAGGGTTCAGCAAACAAGACGTTAAAGCTATGACACAACACCCGAATCCGTTTGATGCGCACAAAATGCAACAAAAAACCCTTCGGCGCAGTGCCAGGCGTTCTGCTTGGTCTCGCTTTTCCCGTGTCTGGAGCTGTTTCGAAATCTGCTCCTCAGCTGTGGGCCACGGGTGTCAGACGGCAGGGTTTGATGGAATGTAAGATTGTACAGGGTGCCTTCGTGGTTGAGCGCGTGTAGAACCAGCAAAACGAAATCGATCTCTTCGGTCGTGTGACTTCGACAATTGAGGCTGGACTAGGAAGTGTTAGCAGACTTGTTGATTTGGAGCCTGGAGGCTGGAGGCAGGGGATGGAGTCAAGAGCACCTAGTCAGGCTCTTCTTCCAATGGTTAAGGACGACTCATCTGTTTCTCTGCCATTGCTTGTGAGTGCTTAAGAGGGCCGAAATCCGCCCCGAGCTTGTGACACAACTTGGAACAAGTCTAGGATAGGGGCCTAAATAACCTATACTATTGTGGGGCTCCTTATTGTATTTAGTGGGCCCCAAAACCCTATTCTAATTACTAAGGCCCCTAAAGTAGCTTTCGCCGCTTTCGCCCCCAAACCTCAACTCCGACGGAGCACCGGCGCCCCAGGAGTCAGCCGCAGAAGCTTTAGGCTACTCGAAATCCACAGCCCGATCCTCAAACCCCTCGAGTTTCCCACCCTAATCCCAAACCCGAAGCCCTAAACCCTTAAACCCTGAACCCAAAACCCTAAACTCTAAACTCTAAACCCTACACCTTAAACTCTAAACCCGAAACCCTGAAATTCTAAAACCGGGAAACCGACCTGAGACTCTAAACCTCGTTTATGCACACCTGACGACATAGACCCGTAGCCGTCAAGCGGGCCCCCGAAATTACGGCATCTGAGTCGTGTTTGACATTCATCGCCGGAAGCCCTCCACCTCTGAACCTACACCCTGAACGGGTTCAAGACTTCTTGCTTCAGGGTTTTGAGTCTTGCGATTTAGGGTGTCGGGGCTTATGGAATGTTACTGTTGATGATATAAATCCTGCATTACCTGAAGGACCCTAAACTATGGTAATTGTAGTATATTCCTTATTACATATGGGTAATGCAGGATTTATATCATCAACCGTAGCTCACTTCTCCGACCACCCTGAAACCAGTCTCGGTTTGCTCCTGCATCCTGGTGGCCCTTGATCAACGTAGGGCCTTCATATTACTACTACTACTACTACTACTAATAATAATAATAATAACAGAATAATAATAATCATAATAATAATAATCATCATCATCATCATAATAATAATAACCATCAGAATAATAATAATAATAATAATAATAATAATAATAATAATAATAATAATAATAATAATAATAATAATAATAATACTAATTAGAATAGGGTTTTGGGGCATGTTGTATTACAACTCAGAAGGAGGAGCCTTCAAACCAGTATAGGCAAGTATTCAGGTCCCTACAGTAATTACTGGCCTTGGTTCGTGCTTCGGCCTCGTCAGCAATGTTGGCACCCGTTTGTTTCTTACAAGCTCTCGACGTCCGAATGACGTCCAAATGTGGATGCCAACAGCTTGGGGCCGCCATGCCCGAACGGCATGGCATGTAGCCTGATGTAGCCCCCGCAACTGCTGTAATCCGAGGCATTCTGTGATGGGAACTCCATCTCACATCTGATCACATGTGATCCCTGCAGATGCCTGTGCGCCTGAAGAACATGCCGTTGACGGCAGCAGCACGCCCGGCAATCACAGGGCCCCAGCGCTTAACGCCTGTTTCTCGAGAGAGGCTTCCTCCAGCCGCTGCGACAATTTGGCGGAGGCCTTCCAGCCCTCTTTAGGTACAGACGTGCTGGTGCTTTTCTTCGTTAACAGCTGCATAGTTGCAGACATGTGCGTGGCCCCCTAGGCCGCAAAAACCCAAGCCCTACACAAGCCCTTCGCGCGGACCCCACGCCCTCGACCATAACCCCTAGGAGCCTGCGTAGGCCTTATAAACCCTAAAATACTACAACACAAACTCTATATGTCCTACAACATAAACCCTATAGGTCTTATTATAACATATACCCCATAAATCCTACAAGGCACATCCCAAGCCCAATAGCACTGAAAGCTTACTTGGAGGTTCATGGGTAGTTCTAAGTGGGGTCATAAGCAGCGTAACTATAGTTATAATCCATATTAGGAATATTAGGGGACTTATACCCATGAGCCTCCAAGTAGACCCTAAACCGTATACCCTTATAGAATCCCTCTAGATCCCTTTAAAGGGGCCTTAAGGAAACCCTTGCAACTACCCAGAAAACCGAAAGCCGAGGCTTGCTGACTTGGTGCTTGCGGCGCGGTCAGACGACCACCCGCGAGGAGAGTCGGCCGAGGGTTGGGTGGTTTCTAGGGGTCTGCCAGGGTTTAGGAGATAAGGGTTTAGGAGATAAGGGTTTAGGAGTTTAGGGTTTAGGAGATTAATAGGGTTTAGGAGTTTAGGGTTTATAAGCGGATTAGGATTTAGGAGTTTAGGAGTTAGGGCTGAGGAGACTAGGGTTTAGGAGTTTAGGGCTTCGGATTTAGGGTTTAGGGTTCAGGAGTTGAGGGTTTAGGAGATTAGGGTTTCGGAGTTTAGGGTTGGGGTTTGCTGGGGTTTGTTGCTTTTGGGGTTAACCTAAGGTTTAGGGTTTAGACTTTAGCGCGGCTTTGCACTTGGGGTCTCCTTTGCAGTTCTTTCCTTCTCGGCGTGGGTCAAGCAAGTTATAGGGTCCGGACCGGCCTGCGTCAGTTCCCCAATGGCCCTTTAATGGAGCTCTTATGGTCCTTAATAGTATGGCTATTTAGGGTATATTAGAGGGTAGTTGGGGGTCCAAGTACATTGCATTAAGGATTGTTACCTTGCAGAGGCCCAGCGAGTTGGGGTCCGGGTCTCGGAGTGGTAGGTTTCGAGGGGTTGTGGGAGGTTGCGAGTGCAGGGTTGATGCATATACATGGGAGTTTCCGAAAATTAGGGGTACCTTATTTGGGGTCCTTATAATAAGGATCCGAATATTTGGGGTACTATATTAGGGTCCCCTGTTTTCGGAAACTCCCATATACATGATGGTATGTGAAGCTCATAGACTATGGGCATTCGTTTTAGGGTTTAGGGTATAGGGTACAGCATAGGGTTTTGCGGTATAGGCTTTAGGGTTTAGGGTATATAGAGCATTACCGTTACCGAGAGCTAATGCTGAAGTCGCAAACTTTAAACTCCGCAGGTCCTCCAAGATTGCGGTACAGGTTTCTTACCTCAGGAGCCTACCAACCTGCCAAAACCACTACACCCTGAACCTTAGACACTAAACCCCTCCCCGAAAGCCCCAATTGGAAACCTGATAGAACCCTTCTAGCACCCGTTTGGGACTCCTAGAAGACTTCGGTTATCCGAGGAGCATCTCCGCTGCTGAGCCCGGGCAAGGGCGGCTCGCAAACCCGCTTGTCCAAACGCCGCTGGATTGAAACAGTGCCTGAAATTAATCAACAGGGTTCTATACAAGGGTTAAAGGGTTCAGGGTGTCAGTGCGCGGGGTGTTGACCCACACGGTTTAGTGTTTGCAGGCCATGAAAGGAGAGGTAGGTGACCGCATTTCAGAAGCCACACCTGCTGAAGCTCATTACACCCGAGGCCGAGGTTCGAAACCGCAGAATCCTGAAGCCTAGATTCTGAAACGCTAAACCCTAAAGTCCCCCTATAACCCTGAAACCACAAATCCTGAAACGCTAAAGCCGTAATCAAAGAATCTCACCCTAAAGCCTGAATCCCTAGAATTCTACATCAGAGAAAGGGAGTTCAAGCGAAATTCCAAACTCCTGAAACTCCAAGGTCTTACTGAAACATTACCCTAAACCCTAAACCCTAAACCCTAAACCCGAAAGCCCTCGCTTCTGACCGTTCTCCTATCCAAATGCGGAGAAAGTCGGAGGTCTCGTCGCCCAAATCTTCTTCGACCTTCCGGTTCCTGCGAACCATAGCACCATGGTCAGCCTCACAGCAGGCCCTTAAGCCAGGCTGTTCAGTGGTACACTTTGTTACTTTCAGGTTTCTGGGTTCCTATGATAAAATAAGAAGCCTAAAAAAGTATATACTTTTTCCCAGTGGGTTACTGAACAGCCTAGTAAGGGTTCCACAAGGGTCTCGGGCTGCCTGAAAGGTTCCTGTGTAGGGTTCCATAAGAGCTCTATTTTCTGGCTGGGCTTCGCTCTATTTAGGGTTCAGGGTTTTGTTCGACGGTTGAAGTTTTGGGTTAGGGTTGGGGTATTCCGATTTCCTTTCAAGCTACTACAGAGGATCTATGCTATCTTGGTTGACAATAGCATGTATTACCATGCCGGTTTTTGAACTGTGTCGATTTAATTTAGGAGCCTTAATCATTACCAATACTACTCTGGGGGTTCTTTATTGCAACCAAAGTACAATATACCCCCCCAAACCCTATTCGATTGTTTAAGGCCCCTATTTTATGGGCCTTCGTCTAGGGACCGCTTTACAATGTAGCCACATGTATCAACACATTGACACACTATATGTATGTGTCTGTATATAATGTATATACATATATTATGCAGACAGTGTCGTTATGTGTACACACGAAGCCGTGTACATGTACACATTCTCGCTCACTGGTAAGCATGATGATGTGGTGTTGTTACCCAGCCCCGTATCCAAATACATCATTGTAAGTTGCTCTGGACTTGCAGCAGGCCTGCGGGAGGTGACCTTGCTGGATCCGTCCGGAGCTACCCGCGACTTCTCCTTCAGGCACCGGGGGTGGGGGTGGGGGGGGGGGTGTTCCAGGATGCAACTGGCATGTTGCCAGGCGGTCGGTGAATGCTGGAAGGATCAGTGGGTTTGGAAATTGGAAAGAAGTAGGGTCAGATGCAGAACGTGCCCACGTAGGGTACATTAAAGGCCCCTAAACCCTGAACCCCTAAACCCTAAACCAGTTAGTTCTACCTACATGGTAAGTCCTCTCAGGAGGCTTCCGACTCGTAGTAAACCAATTGTCCTTGACCTTGGCTGCTCTTATGTCTTAGCCCTTACCTTAACCCGGAATAACCTACATTTTAAGGACTTACATAAGAAATCATAATAAGGAGCCCCGACAAGGCAGGGTACTCAGGGTTGAGGTATAGTGTAGGAACCTGATTAAGAAACCTTGGGCCTTTAACCAGGGCCCCTTTTTGTGAGTCCTACTATTTTGGTGTTATAGGCCCAGGGTTTCTTAATCAGGTTCCTACATTAGCTTAAGGATGCCTTGAATCCCCTCCGTGTCGTGGTTCCTCTCCGATCGAGGCCCTTGGTGGCTTGTCTGTCTGAGAAGAGGCCCGACAATAGGGTTTTGGGGTTGAGGGGTCTAGGGTTTAGGATTTAGGCTTTAGGGTTTAGAGTTTAGGGTTTGGGGTTTAGGGGTTTACAGAATCGGGTTCCCGAAAGCAGGGCTTGGGGTCTAGGGCTTATAGGACTCTTAGAACCTGACTTATGCATCTTGTTTCGTTCAGATCGTGGGGCGTAGGTTTGCCAACACAAAGCCCAAATCTCGTGGGCCTCAGTTTCTACCGTTGCTCCTGATCTTGCTGTGATTAGCCTTCCCAGAGGGTTTTTGAAGTTTGTCGCTCCGAGTTGATTGAATGGTGTCTTCACTTGGCAGTTCTTCCTTCCTTGTCCTGTCTCTGGGATGTGACGCATGCAAGCGAGTCCATCGCCGACCGCTGCTAGGAGAAAAACCAGTACAACACAGCCCATATTCATATTAGGCAGTCAAGTAAGCATTTCAGAAACAAAGTGTGGGCGAGTAACGTAGGTATCGCCGAAGAGTTTCGGCTCGTTGCACGTGTTCTAGCAGAAATGCTTGAACTGTATCCGTCCAGCAACCATACCCGCCTCGAAGGTGTGTCCTCGGCTTTGAGTTAGATGGGAGTTTCCGAAAATAGGCACCCTAATATAGTACCCTAGATAGTCGGATACTTTTTATCAGGACCCCAAAATAAGGTACACTTAACTTTCGGAAGCTCCCAGATGCCCTAAACCCTATAACCCTAAACCAAAGTGTGCTTAGTAGGGAATGGGGGACTAGATCCCTATAGCTGTCCTTATATAATCCCCAATACTAGTCTCCAAATTCCATTCCTAATAATTAGACCCTCGGGATCCATTTAGACTCATATATTATGTAAGGCCTTTGGGCCCAAAGACCAAGACCATACTATATAAGGCTTGTGGGCTATTTTGACCCCTAGGGAGACAGCCTAACTTAAACTCTAAACCCTAAAACCTAAAGCCTAAACCCTAACCCTCGACCCTAAACCCTATAACCCGATAGCCCTAAACCAAAGTGCGCTTAGGTTGGCTCAGCTCTTCGTCCTCGTACTTCTGGAGCGCAAGGCTCCACCTACGTTCAAAGTTCAGGGTTTAGGGGTTGAGATTCTATACTTAGAATAGGGTTACTGTAAGGGTACTATAACTTTGGGGCCAAAATACTTACCTGTACTATTTTGGGTTTCCTTACTAAAAATGTAGTACAATGGGCCCCGGAATCTTATTCTTATCATTATAAGGCCCCTACATTAACTTCCTAGGCCCGCTATCAGACCCTAAATGGCCCTACATACCCATTGTTTGCGCGTTTCCGGGGCATATACCCGTATCTGAGGGTTCTGAGGGCCTTGAGCCGGAGTACGAAGTTTCAGAAGTCATAGTAGCGGCGACAGGCGGCCCATAACGACTATGGGCTTCGATTGGCGTTTCGGCTTTCGGGGTGCCTTCCAGAGTGCTAACGATGAGACACAGAATCAGCTACTTCAGGGCTTGCAGTCGCAAGAGCAAAGCAAGTTGTGGAGCATCGAAGCGGGTTCATATTTAGTTTTCAGGGTTTAGGTTTTAGGGTTTATAAGCCTTAGGATGCTTCAGGACTTTAGAGTGTGGGCGTTCGGGTTTAGGTTTTAGGGTCTAGGGTTCAGGGCATGAGTGCTTCAGCAGTCCTGGTGCTCATCATAGTATGAGTGCTCTTGCCCCCAAAGCCCTAGAACCTAAGACCCCAAGCCTAGACCTAAACGCGAAGCCCCCAAAAAGCCGGAAGCCTAAAGCCTCAACCTAAGCCCCGACACCACAGATCTTTTAATCAGAAACCTTGCGACACCCTGTAAAGACACTGAAAAAGCTTGCCAGACGTTTGAGGTTACCACCGAAAGCCAGCCCCAAGGGCTTCAAATCCTTTAGTTCAGGCTTGGTATAGGGGCCTTAATAATTAGAATAGGGTTTCGGGTTTTGGGGCCCAGTATACTAAAATTGCAATAAGCAACCCCCCCGCTAATAGTATTGGTAAGTAATTAAGCCTCTATAATTAGCCTCTGCAGCGCGAAGATTTGTCTTTTTAGCGTCAATCCCCTGAGCCCTCATTCCTCATAGACTGGTGTAAGCCCAAAACCACGATCCTGCCGCAGGTCGTGCTGACCTCAAAGGAGCTTAGCCACGCCTTGCTGGCAGCAGTGCTCGAAGTGCTTCGTGCATTGATCTTCCCCTTTGAATGGGCTTTTCGGACCGAAGACTCAGAGCGTCGGGTTAAGGGTTTAGGTTTTTGGGGGTAAAGGGTTTAGGGTTTTGGGGGTTTAGGGGTTAGGGTTTGGGGGTTCAGGGTTTTGGGGGTTTAGGGGTTAGGGTTTGGGGGTTCAGGGTTTTGGGGGTTTAGGGTTTCTTGAGGCCATTAGACTGGGTTTCTCCTGCACGCTCTAAACCCTCAAGCCCTAGGGTCGTGCCCTTTGCGGAAGCCTTATGGAGCCCTTACAGTCACAGTATCCTTGGAGAGCATATCGAAGCCTTGGCCGTGGAGTTCCATATACTGAGCCGTGAGCGCTACACCATGCACCTTACACCCTAACCTTATGGAGTCTAGCTGAGGAGCATACTTACATTCCGATCCTGCCGGCAAGCCTCCGATGGACTTTAGAGAGCCCGGCGCCCTTTCTGCCGCCTGGCAAACACAGCTCCCGCTTAAAGAAACCCAGGGGAGGGGGTTTAAGCCCTTAGGCACGGCCCTTAAGGAGGAGGGGTTTTGGGGGTTTGGGGGTTGGGTTAGGGTGTAGGGGTTCGGGGTTTCGGGTTTAGTGTTCCCGAACCCCAAGTACACGCCAATCCCTGAAGCCCCGCCCCAGCCACCGACACAATGCCAGAAGTCCGACCCCAAGCACAAACAACACGGAGGAGGTTTCCCTCCGGATTGTTGTCGTTTCTGTGTTAAACCTGTATACGAGAAGGGCGGATCCTGTTGTGTTTCGGGATTCTATATTAGCGTTTGTCTTCCTCCTTCCGAACTCTTTCGACGGTAGCATCAAGCTGTGGGAGTTGTTGAATGCTGAACATTTGAACTTGCCTTGAGCCTAAGAGTCTATCGAAAAACATCAATCTGAAAGCTAATCCGGTGAAGCGCTTGAGGCAAATGTGCTGTCAGCAGGCCAGCGAAACTAAGCCAAGATTCCTGAACTTACAAAGGCATTCTAGGAAAAACCTCCCCTTAGAACGCCAACAACGCCTCGATGGCCCACAGCCGTAAAGCCCTGCCGATCCCAGGAGAAAAGGGCTCCGGCGACTGACCAACAACAAAGCCTGCCTACGGCCCTCAACTGTAAACCCTGCAATCCCAAAGCCCATCCTAAGCTCTAAACCTTAAACCGAAACGAAAGCCCAAAAGCGGTCCTGAATAAGATGCAAGAATCAAAAGCCCCAAGTCTGTTGAGAAGTAACGCTAAGAGGTTCATAGCTAGTTATAAGTGGGGTTACAAGTAGGGTATAACCCATCATAAGGGACTTATAACCCCACTTATAACTACCCATGAGCCTCCTAGTAGACCCTAAACCGCATACCCTTAGAGAATCCCTATAGATCGCTTTAAAGGGACCCTTAAAGGAACCCTTATTACTACCCATGACCCTCCAAGCAGTGAGGATGGGCGTTCCCGGCGGGCTCTCCCCCATGGAGATTCCAGACGATGTCGCATGGACCGAAGAGCACTAGGACCTAGAGTAGGCCCTTATTCCCTTTTTTCCAGTGTTCAGGTTCCCTTCTAAGCCACTTTAAACCAAAAAGGGCGCCCTTTTTCTTCCTCGATTCCGCTTGGGCCTACAGCATGTTGCCCGGTAGTTTTAACTTAGGGTTGAGGGTTTAGGGTTTAGGGCCCCCTGTTTGTATCCACCGGAGCCGAGCCCAGGGCACTTCTAATGAGGACCCCGATCAAACGGAGAAGCCCGCCGAAAGTCCGAGAGTTTGGGATTTCGTCTCTGTCCCTGAATCCCAAGATCTGGGCCTCAAGCTCCAAACTCTGAAAAACCTGAGCCCCCGACCCCAAAATGGGAGTTTCCGAAAATGGGGGACCTTAATATAGTACCCTAAATAGTAGGATCCTTGTTGTAAGGAGTACCCTAATTTTCGGAAACTCTCATGAGCAGAAAAGAAACCACCAGTGAGCCTCCAAGTATGGCCCGAGCCATGCTCCGTGGATGAGAGAGCCTTTCAGACTGACGCCGAGCAGAGTCCGAGGTGGTACTGTTCGACCTGGACACTGGGAGAACCATCCCGGAGAAGCCCCAGGCACAAACCCCAAACCCTACTTAGGTGATCATGGGACTTAGTAAGTCAGGTTTGATAAGTACCTTAATTGGGGTTATAAGTAGTTATACGTACAGTTACCCTATTTATAACCCTAGTTACTAAGTCCCATGATCCTTTAAGTAAACCCTAAAGGGGCTGCAGATCTTCTCTTCGCAGGGACACCGCAGGAAAGACCCCAACCCATACTTAAGCAGCGAGACACCCGTCATGTTGGGGCCTTAAGAATTAAGTACCTAATGTAGGACCCTGATCAAGAAAACTTGGGCCTTTATTAGGGTTCTTATTATATGAATCCTATTATTTTGGGTTTATAGGCCCAGGGTTTCTTAATCAAGTTCCTACATTATACTATTTTGGGGGGCTACTTACAGTTTAATATACCTCCAAACCCCATTAACTCATATCATTCCCCAGCTCCCGAAATGTCAATCCCTGAGCAAACACTGAAGCCGCTGGCCCGTGGCTTTTTCCGGACATGTTAAACTTGAGGTACCTAGTTGCGGGTGTTTTTTGCAAAACAGAGATGGTGTACTTGTCCGTAAGATGTTTAGATGTTTTGGCTTCCTGTGTCTTCGATTGACCTCCGAACCCTAAACCCGAAATCCTAAACCCCTAAACCCGAACTTCTAAACACCTAAACCCAAAACCCCTAAACCCTCCCTAGACCCCTAAACCCAAAACCCTCCTCCCATCGGGATTTCTCAACGCTACCCAAGCAGGCGAAAAAGGGGGGCGCCCCAAAGAAAGAACCCTTTCTAAGCAAAGACCCTCAACTGTGGACCCTTGAACCCTAAACCGAAACCCTAAACCTTGAACCCCTGAACCCTAGTTGGAGGTTCATGGGTAGTTATAAGTATATAAGTAGGGTAGGTATAGTTAGAACCCGTAGTGTGGGACTTAAACACCCCACTTATAACTACCCATGAGCCTCCAAGTATACTTGAAACCTCCCAACCTGGCCAAAAAGTGGATCCCTTAATGGGGGTTCCTATAAAGTACCCTTAGTAGTATAGGGCCCCAAATTAGGGGGATCTACTTTCTAGATCCTGCCGGGGCTTTGGGTACCTGAAACCTCCCAACCCAGAGACTCCAATATCCCTTACTTAAGGAATATGCTTTAAATCATATTAGGGATCCTACTATAATTTAAGGTATATTCCTTATGGGATATTGGAGTCTCTGGGAACCTGGCCACCAGATGCCGCCCATCCCCAAGTCTGTGGAGCACTGCATGACTCGCCTGCGCACGGCGCACCAATGGGAGCAAAGAGATCCCAACAAGGACGGTCGGTTCAGGCTTTGGGGTTTGGGATTTAGGGCTTGGGATGTAGGGGTTGAGGTTTAGGGTTGAGGGTTTGAGATTTCGGATTTAGGGTTTAGGCTGTCTGTTTCGGTGTTTCGGGTAGGACGTAGGACTTTGGGCTTGGGGCTTGGGGCTGAAGCTTTATTGTATGGGGTCTGTGGCTGGGGTCTTTTGATTAGGGTTCAGGGTTTAGGGGGGTCTTTGAATGAGGGTTTTTTGGAAGTTTTGCAGTCTGTCGTCTTGGAAGCTGAAGATTGTAGAGTCTTGCTGCAACTGGTGTCTGTGAGTGTCCTTGTCCGAACCTGAAGAGATCTGAAGAGGAGTTGAATCGCAGACCAGGAGTCTAGTCTTAGGGCTTCCGTTTTTGAGGATCTTTGGAGGATCAGCGAATTGTTAAGGTGAAGGGCAGCATGAGACGCCAGACTTTCTCGAAAAAGGCCCTAATGTGGACAACAATTTACCGGAACCTTAAACTCGAAACCCTGAACCCCCTAAACCCCTTGAGCCCTAATATTTATGTAGAGGACGTGCTTTGTCGTGTCCACCATAAGTCCTGAACCCTATTTGTCAGGACTATTGGAAGAAGTTTCACACCGTTCGCTTTGCCAATGCCAAAAGCTGGCGCCCTGGAAGTGACACCAAGGCCGAACCAAGCTAATATAGGGTTCTTTGTAACTAGGATGGGTTTTGGAGGTTTATTGAAGGATAAATGTGCGAACTATACGTAAGCGAATAGTACTGCTAACTACGCCCACACGCCTGCAGTACCGTTTGGGTGTGAGGGCCGGCCTCATTTAGGACTTGCGGCTCAAAATTTTCAGTCAGTGGTGTAGGGCTCTTAGGTGTTTATTCATGGCTTGTGGCTCGTAAGGTCTTGGAATTCCTGAATCTAGCATGAGCAGGCAAGCTTTACTGACGCTGCTTTCCCTCTACACCCGAAGCCTTGGCGCCCTAGCCCCATATCTACTATAGGGGCCTAAATAAAGACCACCATTTGGCGGGATTCCTTGTTATATATTTACAATACAATGGGCCCCCAAACCCTATTCTAAAAATCAAGGCCCCCATATCTACTGTTTCTAAGCCTGCTAATTAGCCGTCCTAGCCAAAACTGTTTTGGAGGGATCTTGACACGATCCTTGTTTGCTACCTGGTGAATCCCTTACCTGTAGTAACGCCTAGAGAATTGAAGCCCCCGCCCCGGCGAGGAGATACCCTGATGTTGACTGCACCGGCACATGAATTGCTCTTGAGGAAACCGAGAGGAAGCTTATTCCGCGTTGAGTAGGCGGACAGATTCAGAACATATCTAAGTACATGTCCAGGAAACATCATGCGACATCAGCACAGGGTCGTTTTGCAGACATCTGAAGGTTTGTTCTTGTTGCCTCGGATGTCGTTCTAGATTCTACTACTTGTACACTGTTCTTCTCCGTATACTGTTAGTCTCTGGTATTGCGTGTTCCAAGTTCACCCAGGAACCAAGTTTCAGAACTTACTCCCGAGGAGCTTTGTGCCTGATCTCCTCTCGTAAACTAACTTAAGCCACCGAGCCCAACTGGAAGCCTTAAAGCCCAGCAGCGCGTAAAACCCCAAACCCAAACCGGTGCAAAAACCAGAGCCCACAATCCCTAAACCCTTAACCTTAGTGGGATGTCCGCAGGCGCCGGATTCACCGTCGTCCTCTCGCGGACGGCACAGGCCATTCTAGGATTCATGGTTCTCATAGCCTTAAATGTAGAACTTCAAGCGCTCTGGGTCTTTATGCTCTGGGTTCGGGTGTAGTTCAGGGTTCCTGTAGCATTCGACAGTCTGGACACTTTTCGTCTAGAGTCCAGGGTTTGGATTTTGGGTTTGGAGTTGAAATTTCAGAGGTCGCGGTTTGTCACGTTCTTATTGCGTTCGGTGCAACTCAGCAGCAGCTCTTTTTTCCCCGATAGCGCTGTATTGGTCGTCCCAACCCTCCAGCCTACACCTCAAGAAATCGGAGGGCACGGCTTTCTACCCTGAGCTTGCTACCGTAATCCCTGAGCCCTAAGACCTGAAGCTTCCAGCTATGGTTTGGAAGGCTCAACCAGGCTCGGCGAATGTGTTACACACACACAACCAACACACACACACAGAGAGGCAGAGGCCCAAACCATCGCAAGCCAACCACACGCTTCAAGCCCGTATCCCGGGGACTTGTGAGGGTATATCCCTGGCCCTGGAAAGTTCTGACAGAAGTTTTGCTCAATGCTAAAACTTAAAGCTACATGGACCCGAAGAGACCCACACATTTTTTTCAGGAGTCCCCCCGAACCCTATAAAATCTAATCGGGCCCCGTTGTTAATTCCAAGCCCCAGCATTTCTCAGGGCCCTCCAAAACCCTGCTCAGCTTGGCACCACTGAACTTTGGCCCCACCGAAAGACCTTTGACCGTTAAACTTCTGAATCGATAAGCATTTCAAGCCATTAAAGCACTATAAGTACCTCTAAGCCCTAAACCCTGATGAAGCACCAACCCAGTCAGTAGGATCCTCAGCTTGTTTGTTAGGCACAATGCCGAAACTGTGAGCATGTCCCTCCTTTCAACAACCTGAACGTAAGAGAAAAGCCGCACGCCCCTATACACGTTGTTCGCAGCTTGAGGGCCCCGAAACCTAAACCTCTTTATTCACAGGAGGAGTCTGTCCTCAACCAGCTGCGAAAGTGGCGAAGAAAGCACCCGGGTTCGCTTACGGAGTTTTCAGGAGGTGGTTTCGCAAGGGTACAACTTTAAGAGCATTACATGTTTTCTTCATAAAGGTTTCTGACATAGGGTTTGATTGCGTTTGCGGGTTTTGTAAGGGCTCGAGAAGGTGTTCCAAATGTTTGATAGGCTTTTGGATCCATTCGCTTAGGGTTCTGGGCAGCCTGATTAGTTGAATGCCCGAGTCCTCAGCATTTCGGGTGTCAGGTTTTGAGTTTGGGGAAAGAGTCTAGGACTAGGATTTAGGTGTTTTGGGGCTATGTGGTTTTGAGTTTGGGATTCAGAGTCGAGTGCTTCGGGGGTTAAGTGCTTCGGATTTGTGCAGCATTTGAGGTTTGTAAGCTTGGGACGGGGGGACTACTGCAGGGATTGCTGTTGGTGATGCGAAGACGCTGATAATCTGTTTTTTGCACTTGAAGCACTTGTCTCATGCATTTCGCATGTTTAAACAGGAATGCGCGATTTTGCCAGCAGGCTCTAACTAGGGTCATGAGAGGATGGCCCAATCAAAGGTGCATTTGCAAGTGTAGTACAAGCACCGAAGATCCAAGTAGTTGCCTCAGAATGTGTTCCCCGACACCGTATCATACACCCAACGATCGGAGCATTGGATACTTGGATCCTGAGGGATCCGGGTTGAAATTCTGTACGATTGTAGGATGTATGGTGCAGGGTATAGGACCGAGGATTGGGGGGTATATAGAAGTTTAGCGTTCAGGGTCTAAAATCCAGGGTTTAGGATTTAGGATTGGGGGTAGAATCAGCGCCTGGGTCTCTAAACCCTGTAAACCCCAAGCCCTATGCTCGAACTCCATGAGCCCAATATCGTAAACTCCCCACCATATCCGCTGAACCCCGAATCCAAAACCCTATAAAGCACATTCAAGCGCTACATCCCAAACCCTAACAAAGCTTAAGGCACAAGCCTCTAAACCAAAGTTGAGCCCCAAATCCAAAACCCTAAACCCCAACCTTAATATTTCATAAACCTACACCCTAAAAAGCCCTAACAAACCATAAATCCCAAACCACTAAACCCTAATTAAACCGAAAATCCAACACACCTCCGAGGTGATGGGGCTTTATCTTTGCACAGCTCGGGTCTGCTTAGCGGATCCCTGGGCCCCGCCCGGGCCCCGGAAAAGGACAAGAAGGTTTCGGGTTTAGTGCAGTTTGGGGGTTTAGGGTAGGGGTTGATGGTTTAGGGCAGTTTGGGGTCCAGGGTTTAGTGCAGTTTGGGGGTTTAGGGTAGGGGTTTAGGGTTTAGGGCAGTTTAGGGTCCAGGGTTTAGGGCAGTTCAGGATTGGGGTTTAGGGGGTAAGCGCGGGTGTCCCTTTTAAAAGTGCTCCTTGCAGAAATCGTTTGTCAGGTCCTCAGGTTTGGGGTGTTTATGGCTAAAGGGTGATACGGTATACCCCTCCCGAACCATTTGACACACTGACCCTTGACATTCAATCCTTGAACCAGATGCAGATAACCGTGCTGACCCCGGCGCGCACGCCAGGTTTGGAATGAGGATCAAGAGCGAAGCTTCAGACAGAAGGCGGGTGCAGTTCGGGTGTCAGGGCTTGGGCTCTAGAGCTGATGATCAAATTTAGCAGTTGAGTAGGTAACCTTTAGCCTTTTGATTTCGGATTAGATGATCCTACCATGATTGAAAAGGTTAGCTTTTTTGGAGCTAGGATACTCACCCCTAAGCAGAAGGGTTCTACAAGGGCCAGTGAGGGCTATAACGGCTCTTTAAGGCTCCTTTGGCTTGCAGACAAGGTTTAAGGTACGGGGTTTGCGTCTTGGGGTTCAGGGTTCAGTTGCTTGGGAGTTTAACGTGAACGGTTCGGGAATAGGAGTTTGAGGCTGGAGGATTCGGGTCTAGCGGTTCCGGTTCAAAAGCTCGGAAATCAGCGATCTCAACCAAAACAAGGCATGTCAGCGGCCGGTGGGAGGCACCAGAGGGCACAGCCGTTTATGTGCCGGATCCCTGCAATGACTATGCCCAACCCCCACACCCCTGTACAAACCCCAAAAAGCCCGAAACCCCAATCGCACAGCCCAAACCATAAAAAGCCAGAAGCCGCAAGCTCAAAGGGCAAATCCCAAACCATAGACCCCAACACTCGAAACCACAAACAAGACTCCGACGTTCGAGTAGTCCCCGCTGTCGGCAGGTGTCTTCGCTCTTCCTGGAGGCCAGGGCTGCTATGACCTTTGTAGAGCTCTTTAAGGGAGCTAAAGTAAGAGTCCCTTCAATGGTCAACTACAGTAAGGTCCTTTAGGGGTTTAGGGTTTAGGGAGTCCGCTAAGGGAGGTGTAGTCCCTTGATAAAGAGGGAACTAGAATAAGGTCTCCCCCTATACATAAGGGCTCCAGGCGGTTTCAGAAGGGTTCTACGAGGGTCCACGAGGTTCTAAGGCTTTCCTGAGGACCGTCAAGTGGGGGCTTCCTGTTTAGGGTTTAGGGTCCCTCTCTGAGGGTTCCACAGGCCTTTTTGCGGCTCACGGCTTGCATGAAGGTTTAGGATGTACGGTTTAGGGTTTGGTGGATTGTTGAGGGTAGGGTTGGGTATGTTGGCATGCCCCCGTTGGGCGCATCGGCACACCGTATATTGCAGTTAACCATTGTACCTACATTTGCAGCGCGAGACCGTCACAACAAACATGCAGCCTGGATGCGATGCTCCCCGTTGCAAAAGGCTGAGTTCAAAGTGCTAAGCTTGATCCCAGGCAGAAGCCACACCCAACGCCAAAATTTCCCCTACTGTAGACCCTAAAGCCAACTCTGAGTCCCTGAAGCCCTCAACCCAACTCTGAGTCCCTTAAGCCCTTGACCCAACTCTGAGTCCCTAAACCCTAAGCCCTAAACCCAGCATCCTGATCCAGGCGATGATTCTGCTCCTGCATCGCAGTGAGGCCGTTTCTGAGAGGCTGTCGCTCGGCCTTTTCTGAGTTCAGGGCTGAGGCCCCAAACCCTGAACCCTGTGCCTCTGCCTTACTTTCCAGGCCTTAATGATTACCTCTAGTATGTTGGGGGGTTCCGTATTGTAAGTATAATATAATATGCCCCAAAACCCTATTCTAACTAATAAGGCCCCTATAGAAGACTTAGGCACAAGTTTAGGATCGCAGGAGCCTTTGGGCCTGTCGTTCGCTGGGCTTTACCTCGCATGGCTTTTAAGCGCTTTTGGTGTGGTTGGTAAAAGGTCTCCAGATCGTGGGCTTATTCAACGTTCTCAGATGTGTGTGGGTTTCTGTTTGGGCTTTGGCTTCTGCTTCAAGGATGCAGCGTGTGTAAGGTTTTGCGCGCTGTGCGGGAGCATGACCTAGACAACGAATCACACCTACTGTTTGGATTGTTGTTTCTTTTTTTGGTCTAACCGATATTGAATTGAGGGTCCGTCAAGGAAACCAAGAAAGGATTTGTAGTGGAGGCCATAGGTGCCATGTTGGGTGCTGTACTAGAGCATGGTGCATGTGTCGCCCAGGTCCCCCACCCAAGCACCCGAGGACTGGGCACGCGGTTCATCTACGCTTTCACAGGGTTTAAGATTCAGGCTCTCGGGCCTATCTATACCCAAGGGCCTCTCTGAACACGAACTTTGTGGAGGGGTGTGGGTTTTGTTCCTGCTAGAGGGGCTCTCAGCCCAAGTTTTTTGGGGTCGAGGGCTTGGGCTGGCGGTCCACATGGGTAGTTCTCGATATTAGGGTCACCTTGTGGGAACCCAAAAGAGGACGGCGCCCTTACAACCCTGAAAGGGAATCTAATGTAGAGAACGACTCACATGGTTCCGTCTACCAGCAGATCGATTTAGGTCTGCAGGTGCTTCATTCAAAAACGGTCGATGCTGGAAAGTCGGTCAAGGGGTTCTCATACCATAGTCTACCCTAGGCACCATCGTGACTTATTTTAGGCCACCGCAGACCTATATACTCCTTTCGGGCCAATAATCTGGGCTTTGTTGTACCACACTTTAATACTTTTTTCCCTAAGGAACCATATGAAATAGGAGTTCAATATTTGTCTCCCTGGTTACTGAAAATCCCAGTAAACTTCCAGCTTTGTGGTTACTGAGATCTGAAGCCTGCCGACCCTTCCGCACCCGAGTCTGGAATCTCACAGCGCGCGTTCTACCTTAATGGTCATACCTGTGGCCCCAAACCCTACGGCATAGTGGGTTATGACCCCGTAGTTAGAGGGTAGAACCCTAAATCCCTTGCAGCAGACTCCCTTTGCTTTCAAACTGCGCATGAACCTTTCATCTCTGGCCGCCAGGACAAAGCCACCCGCGTCCTGCTTGAGGCGAGTGCCCTTGGTTATAGGGACACAGAGGGACATTATCACTGCGCGTGAGCCACGCAGTTTTATGTTCGGGATAATGGGGGTCGACGTGATGAGGAAACAGGATGCAAGGTGGGATATTGTGCCCTATGTTAAGGCTGCCTCAGACATGTCCTTTTGCGCCTGAGTTGAACAATCTTTTTTGCGTGCTCTACGAAAGACACTGTAGCTCTGGAGGGCTGGAGGGAGTTTTGAAGGAGTAATATCACCAAGTCTATCTGGGTCTTCATGCTAATTTATCTATAGTTAGCCTTTGGGATGTACAGCTTCTGGTGCGGGGGCTCATGGGCCCTAAGGGATGCCAAGGGCTTATGGGCTTGCAGTGCATGAGATCCAGGCTTCATGCATGTCACGGGTCATGAGGCTTAAAAATAAAACCCTACTGAGCGGCTCAGGTGACGTCGTTATTTTGTTACAAGTAGAGCTGTAAGCATCCTGCATGTGGTGGTCATACATATATCCTTACTTTATTTTCCTACCTGCTAGTCCCTGATCGTGCAAGTAAGCCCTAGACTCATGGCTTCTTGCGAAATTACTAGTAAAGAGGCCCGAACAGTTCGAGAGAGACCCATGTAGAACACCCTGGAGAATCACGATCAAACACTTCAGAAAGAATACAGACCCCAATTACGAACGATATGTGAAAGCATATGCTACAGCCTTGGCAAAAAATGTATGGACACCCTTTGTCGGCCCTCTAAACTATCGACAACTCTTAAAGCCTTCTTCCCCGCCTTTTAAGAGCCACTTAATAAGAATCACGAAAAAAGGCTCTGCGAATGTTGTCAGGATCGTCTAAAAACCCTAAACCTAAGCCCTATATAAACCCTAAACCCTGTATAAACCCTAAACCCTAAACCCCAATTGTTTAAAAGCTGCACCCGTTTCCGATGAGATCTTTCGAAGGACCTCTCCCGGACCAACGCCTGGGAGCGCTTCCTGGCGCTGCCGGCGAACCACCCGAGGCCGAGTCTTATTACTGCTGTTATTACTACTATTCTTATTTTTCATTAGTATTATAGTATATTATTATTACTGCTGGTATTACTTATTACTACTATTCTCGGGTTTTTTGTATTGTATGATGACCAGTAGGATTGCTATGATCATTATTAGTTTGGCCGAGCTGTTTTGGCTGTCCCGGGGACTAGGTCGTCGACCGCGGAAACCCTAGCCGTACACTTACATCAAGGCCGAAACCCAAAGTGAGTTCTCGCCAAGGAACTTACCCAGAGAGCCCAATACCCCTCAATTAAGGAATACAGCTTAAATCATAATATGAAGCCCTATATAATTTAAGCCATATTCCTTAATTAAGGGGGTATTGGGCTCTCTGGGTAATGCTAGTTCCCAGGATGGGAAAGGGCAAAAGATAGTTATTGAATGGTTCCCTTACTGGGCCATGTCAAAAGGACGTGCCCTGGTTGCTCAACCAAGGGCTCAGTGAAGCCTCTAAAGCTCCCGTCTAGGAGCTATGATAATGATTGTTGCTATTGTTATGGGTTTAAGGTTTAGGGTTTTGGGTTTAGGCACTTTTATAACTATGGTTCTTATTCTCGTGTCATTATTGTTGCTATTTTTATTGTTAACATTTTTTATCATTAGCAGAACTGCCGAGCTGCAGGCGTCAGCTCTTTGATCAGGCGGTGGGCACCAGACTCAGCTGGTGGCAGTTCAGCGCTTGCAGGTTTTCTACCCATTATACAAGAAGCAATGGTAGTAACAGCAATCATAATAAACAAATAAGAATGGCAAGAATGATAACAATAATAATAAGAGTAATAATGACACATAAGAATAGATGACAGATCATAATAAACAATAGCCATAAGAAGAATAGCAAAATTGTTTAAGAAAGATAGGTATCATCAATAGTCAACGCTAACAAATTGTCCTAATGATATTAATGCGAAGAATAGGATTATTTGGTTTGAGGCTTTAGGGTTTGGGGTTTAGGGCTTTGGCTTATTTGGGTGTGAGGTTTTAAGGTTATGAGCAGTCCGCAGTTTTATACTCTCGCAGCTTTGGGTTCGTGTTGTGTGTTAAGGTTCATGTTTTCGGAGTAATATAGGGGCCTTAACAATTAGAATAGGGTTCTGGGTCCCATTATACTATAAATATAATAAGGACCCCCCCCAAAAAACTAGTATAGGTAATTATTAAGGCCGCTACAGTAATGTCACCGCCTGCCCAGTGTGCTGTAGTGGTTTTGCGTTTTGGGGGTCCATGGTTCTGGACTTAGGGTTTAGGGTTTAGGGTTTAGGGTTTAGGGTTTAGGGTTTAGGGCTTAGGGTTTAGGGTTTAGGGTTTAGGGTTTAGGGTTTCTCGGGCTGCCGCGAATCTTGGAGGGAGCTTTGAGGAACTTTGTCGTACTGCTACAAGGATCGGGGCATTTAGTACGCAGGTTTGTAGGTAGGACTGGGCCAGGCTGGCTACCTATAAGCAACTACAAGAAGGCTTCCCAAAAGGATCCTGCAATTGGGACTCTGCAAACTTGACTGTTTGATATTACGAGTTTCTTTTGGTGGTGGGTTTTGCGAGGTTTGTATCGGCTTTCATCGGTTCCTAGCTTCCTGAAATGAAGAATCTACTTCAATTCATATCACTCAAGCGTCTGTCGAGAATTTGCGGTCCACCCTCCCCGTAACAGAGTTTAAGGCTTACTTGGAGGTTCATGGGTAGTTATAAGTGGGGCTATAAGTAGGGTAACTATAGTTATAACCCATATTAAGGGACTTATCTAACGCCACTTATAACCCAAGTAGGGAAGACAGATTCAACAGGGCGAGTTTAGTGGTTCGGGTCTCGGGCTGTCGGGTTCAAGCGCTTTGGCCAGGGTTTAGGGCTTTGTTTTGACAGCTTTCAGTGATATCTTCAAGGTTGAGAGTGTAGACGTCACGATTCAGAACTTATCATCGCGGCATGCTGGTTAACGGTTAGTGGTACGAGCCCGGAAACAGCCATGGTGCATGTTTATCTTACCGATGTGATCCCCAATCCGTACTGATCTGCTGTCAGGGTTCTGACAGACCCTGGCAGAAGACGATCGTGAAGAGCTCAGTCGCCAAATGGTGCTGGAATGGGGGGCCCGCCTAATGCCCTCCGTTCGGTTAGTTGGTTTTGCTGTTCCGCCCGTAGAGGCAGACAGAAAGGCAAGTCACAGACTGACAGGGAAGTCTATGCGAACGGGCATGTCCGAGGCAGTCTGGTGTCCAGAAGCATGCCACCCAGAGCCTCCAAAACCCCTTAATTGAGGAATAGACCTTAAATCATATTATGGATCCTACTATACTTTAGGGTATATTCCTTAGTTAAGGGGTTTTGGAGGCTCTGGGTAGTGTCTACCCATTTTCCTGGTGTAGGCACAGTGAAAGTGGCTCTGGACATCCTTCACACCAACCTCTCTGAGTGGATGGTCGCTCCAGCATCGTGGAAGACTGCCTTTGCGGTGGATAAGGACCACTCTTGTGCAACCCAAAACCCTAAACCCCAAACCCCTAAGCCCCCAAACCCCTAAACCCCCAAACCCCAAACCCCTAAACCCCTTTAGCCTAAACCCCTTAAACCCTTAAACCCTAAACCCCAAGATCATCAACCCCAAAGTCCCTGAACGACTCCTCAGCTGCCAAAGTCTCAGCCCACGTCTCTGAGCCTTAAACAAAGCCTTAGATGAAAATTATTAGAAACACCCTGAAGGGCGTGGTGCTTTGGGTTTAGGACGGTTCGGGTTTAGGGGTTTAGGGTTTCGGGGTTTCGGGGTTAGGACAAAGGGGCCCGGGGGGGTGTCACCTCTTTCATCCTCCGAGGCCTGTATCGCTTCTGGTCGCAAGAGCCGCCCGACAGCGCCAGCCTCAGAGCCCTTTGGTTAGTAGGGAATGGAGGAATGGGGTTTAGGGTTTAGGGTAGTAGGGTTTAGGGTTTTGGGTAGTAGGGTTCAGGGTTTAGGGTTTAGGGTAGTAGGGAATGGAGGAATGGGGTACAATTACAACTACTATTACTCCCATTCTTCTATTCCCTACTAACCAAAGGTAAGATGTTTGCATCGAAGGCATCGAGTATAGCCGGATTTGACCATCTACGTACGAACGAAACCCAGCCATGCCAGCCATCATATGATGAACTCGAAGCCAATACATCGTGCCCGGCACAAGGTGGAAAGCCTTTCGTGGAAACTCTGCGGGATTGGATAACACGTGCCTTGGCAGCATAGTTCGTCTTGTGATCCGCGAGGAGGTCTGAAATAAGATTCTGAAACTACCTACAGGCTCCATGTCTGCTACCGTTATGGGAATAGGTCCTGAAAATTTAAAAACAATACTACTGTAAGGATGGTCTGTTAGGACCTAAATCCAGAATAGTAGTGCATGTGCAGCCTTGGGGGAATGGTAGAAATTAGGACGGAAATGCGGCTCGCTATGGCTTGAAATCAACGGCATCTGCCCAAAGGGCAGTGGAGGGAGCAGTAGTTGAGTGCTTCTTTTGAGCCAGTGGTCAAAAATGCGTTACCGCCATGCCACGTTCACCGGCATGTTTGCGACGACAGCCAGAGGAAACCGTTAGAAGACTTGCGACAGTGTTCAATTCCGTTCTGCCGAGGTTTGTACGAGCCTCCGCGCTTGGTTTGCATGAACCTTGGCAGTCAAGCACGTGACAAATAGATAGAGCTGTAAATACGTGTATATGAAAAGATGCATAAAGAAGCAACAAACAAGTGTGTGTGTATATATATATACATATACACATGTGTGAGTCTTGCAGACCCCATCGAGATTTCTGCAGCGGAAAGGAGCAGCAGACTCAGGAATGAAGCTGCCCCGCTGGCATCGTGCGACATGCAGCCGTCGCAGCCTGAGCCGTTCCGGGCCATGCTTGATACCAACAGGCGACGATGATGATGATGATGATGATGAAAACGAAGATGAAGATGAATATTATGATGATGAGGGATGATCTTTCATAGTCGGGGTAAGAAGCGTTCTGCTTTTGGTGGTGGTACTAGTACCCGCAGTTACGAATAACAAAACTAGCAGTCGCAAGACCATGGCAACAGCAACTGAGCAACAACAACAGCAGCATTAGCAGCATCATCGGATCAACCATTTCAACCGTACCAAACATCAGCATAACCAGCAACAGCAAAGCACACGCAACTAGTGAGACACCCACGTCTGTTCATCAGCAGCTTATGTCTGCAGTTTCATCGACAGCTTCTTCACTGTGATCCTGACCATGCACAATGATGACCGTGTTGATGCATGTGTTGTTCATCACCAGTGGCAGGCTCATCACAATCATCGGCGCAACCTGCAACACCGACATTGTCATAGACTCTACCCTGATGCGTGTCGACACCATCATCGCATGCAACCCAAGCCTTCATCTAAGCATCATGATGACCACCTTCATCTTCATGTTGGCCACCAGAGCCGCTCTGTTCCACATCGTCAGCATCTTATCACCAATTGCCCTCGGCCCTAACTACGCTAGCCCCCCGAATTGAACGCTCTGAGCCCTGAAAGGAGCCAACCCTAAACCCCGAAACCCAGTTAAAACCGTAACTTCACCAAGCCACGGAGGCAGCTACCAGTGAGGAAGCAGCTGCAGCAGCTCCTCTCAACGAGGCTCCGCCGGCAGTTCAGCGTACTTAGCCCCGTTTCGGGCAGTACCGCTTAAGCCGTGTAAGGTTGTTCCGCATTCTCAGCCAGCTTCCCTATGGGTAATGCAGGATTTATATCATCAGCCGTAGTACTTGGGGGTTCATGGGGCCCATGAACCTCCAAGTAGGCATGCAATCCACATCCTGAGGCGGCCCGCACCTTCGAGATATGGTTTTCAGGGTATCAGGCTCCCCGATCCCCAAGCCCCTAAGCCCTGAACCCTAAGCCTAAACCCTAAAACTTCAAAGCTTATATACACCCTAAACCCTAAACCCTAAGCCTAAACCCAAAAGCCTGAAACCCTACACCCTAAACTTAAACCCTACATCCTAAGCCGAAGCCCTAAAATCTGAACCCATAAGCCCTTAACCCTAAACCCTAAAAGCCCTAGACTAGACACCGCGACCTAAAAGCCCTAGACCCCAGACCCCACTTGGAGGTTCATGGGTAGTTATAGGTGGGGTCATAAGTAGGGTAACTAAAGTTACAACCCATATTAGGGAACTTATGACCCTATTTATAACTACCCATGAACCTCCAAGTAACCCCGGGCCAGGCCCAGGCGTTCGCGCTTTGAGCCTGTCGGCAGCCTGCGCCTGGAGGAGCTGGCGGAGGAGGCTTTGGGGTGTGGGTTTTGGGGACTTTTTAGGGTTTAGGGTTTAGGGTTGAGGGTTTAGGGTTTAGGGTTGAGGGTCGGGTTTAGGGTTGAGGGTTTAGGGTTTAGGGTTGAGGGTTGAGGGTTTAGGGTTTTGGTGACTTGGGGGTTCAGGGGTTTGGGGTTTAGGGTTTAGGCCCTTATCCAGCCTTTATGGGAAGCCTTTATGGAACCCTTTATGGATCCCTCAAAGGAGCCCGTAAAGGTTCCTTATGGGAACCCTTCAAGGATCCCTTCAAGGAGCTCTTAAAGGATCCCTTAAAGGATCCCTTAAAGCATCCCTTCAAGGAACCCTTATAAGAAGCCCTTAAAGGACCCCTTAAAGGATCCCCTTAAAGGACCCCTTAAAGGATCCCATAAAGGGGAAGCCTTTATGGAAAACCTGACATCCTCGACCCCCGGGCCCAAGTGCGCCTGCGCGAGGTAAAGGCCCAGTCAGACCCAAACAGCCCGGAGGACCCCGGCACGGTTTAGGGTTTAGGGTTTTGGGTTTTGGGTTTAGGGTTTAGGGTTTAGGGTTTAGGGTTTTGGGTTTAGGGTTTAGGGTTTAGGGTTTTGGGTTTAGGGTGTGTTAGTTTAGGAATAAACTTAGGGTACGTTTTATTGTTTAAGTAGATCTAGGAAGATTTTGTGGATGGAGTTTTTTTAACATGAACTTAGGAATACATGTAGGATATAAGGCTACTTTGACATATTATTGCAAGGGTTCCTGAAGGGGGTTGAATGGTTTCTGAAGGATTGTATGGGTTCCAAGGGCATGAGGGTTGCTTTTATTTCGGACATGCAGGGGTGCTAGTAGGTTCTATCAGTGTCTATCAGAGTGTCATAAGAGGCCGTGAGAATCAGGAGTATCTATTGTTATTAGGAAGGTCTTGACGATTGCTGGTCGCCCGTCGACTGCCTTAGAGTATGATGATGACTTCGACTATGCACACCACTCTCCGATCAGAAGGGATGACTCCTGCAGCACACCTGGGTGGTTGTGAAAATTAGGGTCCCTTTTTGGGTACCCTAAATACTGGGTGCCGTATTATAATAGGCCCCAAAAGGGACCATAATTTTGACAACCACCCACCTATATGTCGATAAGTTTCTAGTCCGCCACCCGCCGCAACCGTTTTCGACCTAAC